TGAGCGATCTGGGCTGCTCGGCTGCCTACCCCCCTTTTGGCTCGCGGACTGTCCTACCAAGGGTGGATTTTGTCCCCTGCGTCAGGTTGCCCGCCGCCAGCTGGCTGCTGCAGCCGATGCGTTCCCTCGAGAGTGGGGGGGAGGGGGCCGCCCGGGCTGGCAGGGTCTTTCGGAAGCGGGATGCCCGAATGACTACCGGGAACGGTCCCGCAGGGGTCTTTCCTCCTGGGAGAACGAGGAGCCACTGGGGGGGGGGGGGGGGGGGGCCGCCGGGGGGGGGGGGGGCGCTGGCGGCGACGGGCGCATGCGCGTTGCCGGGGCCGCGTAACGGATCGAACGGCTCCCGCCGCGGAAGCGTTTTGGCGCCTTTTGAAAAAATAGTTGCTCTCAATAGCAGCCATGGCCGTCGCCGGCGGCAGCCTGGCTCAGACTCCGGAAAGTTACGCGGGCTTTGCCAATCTCCCCAATCAAATTTACAGGAAGGCTGTGAAGAGAGGGTTTGAATTCACCCTCATGGTAGTGGGGGAGGCTGGACTGGGGAAGTCCACGCTGGTCAACTCCTTGTTCCTGACGGACGTCTATTCGCCAGAGTATCCAGGGCCTTCGCACAGAATTAAGAAGACTGTTCAGGTTGAACAGTCAACGGTTCTCATTAGAGAAGGGGGGGTTCAGCTGCTCCTGACAATAGTCGACACGCCAGGATTTGGGGATGCCCTGGATAATAGCAATTGCTGGCAGCCTGTCCTTGACTACGTTGACAGTCGGTTTGAAGACTGTCTCCTGGCAGAATCCCGTGTGAACAGGCGTCAGATGCCGGACAACAGGGTGCACTGTTGCTTATACTTCATCACTCCTTTAGGACATGGACTGAAACCCTTGGATGTTGAGTTTATGAAGCACCTACATGAAAAAGTGAATATCATCCCACTTATTGCCAAAGCGGACACACTGACTCCCGAAGAATGCCAACAGTTTAAAAGACAGGTCATGAAAGAAATTCAAGAGCACAGGATTAAAATATATGAATCCCCGGAAACGGATGATGAAGAAGAAAATAAGCTGGTTAAAAAGATAAAGGACCGGTTACCTCTTGCGGTAGTCGGTAGCAATACTATCATTGAAGTCAACGGTAAGAGACTTCGGGGAAGGCGGTATCCTTGGGGAACTGCAGAAGTTGAAAACGATGAGCACTGTGACTTCACGGTTCTCAGGAACATGTTGATAAGAACTCACATGCAAGACTTGAAGGATATCACTAACAATGTCCACTATGAGAACTACAGGAGCAGGAAATTGGCGGCTGTTGCATACAGTGGAGTGGACAATAAGAAAAACAAAGGGCAGTTGACAAAATTTGACACAGGTGAAGGCATGAGCCCTCTGGCACAAATGGAAGAACGGAAAGAGCAGGCGGCAAAGATGAAGAAAATGGAGATGGACAAGGAGCAGGTCTTTGAAGTGAAGTTCAAAGAAAAAGAACACAGACTGAAGGACTCTGAAGTGGAGCTCCAGCGGCGGCATGAGCAAATTAAAAAGAACCTGGAGGCCCAACACAAAGAACTGGATGAAAAACGCCGCCAGTTTGAGGAGGAGAAAGCACACTGGGAAGCCCAGCAACGATAGAATTCTTCCAGAACTTTGTAAAAGAACAAGAAGAAAGGGAAGCTATTTTAAATCCACTTACTGACCACCAGTTATGTATTAGTTGCCAATATTCCAGCCTGGACATCAGTGTGTGTTGGATCTGCTTGACCAAAGTTGCACCAGTTTGTGTTAAATTTATGTTAAATTGTTAATGTTAAATGGTTAAATCTATGGATTTAACAGCATGAGGGGGGAAAACTTGTTTGTTTTTAATTTTGATGGCAATTGAGATGACCTGCATTGTTGGTGTTGCGTGCTTAGGAAGGGAAACAGCTCAAGTGCACTTTTAAAAAATAAAGTTACCTTAATGCAAAAAAAAAAAAAAAGATTGAGGGGACTTAAAAAACAAACACACTTAATTTTAAGTTAAACAGGACAATATGTTATGTTGACCTCTTGACAAGAATGAAACTAAGTAAAAAATCATTTAAAATCTAGAAATTTTTCTCCCTCTCCCAAAATACTAGAACTCGAGGGCATTCAGTAAAGCTGATGGGCAGTAGGTTCAGGATGGACAAAAGGAAACACTACTTTACACAGTAGAAAGTTTGAGTCCAGTGGCACCTTTAAGACCAATGAAGTTTAATTCTGGGAATAAGCTTTTGTATGCATGCACACTTCTTCAGATACATTGAAACAGACCTATTCAAACCTTACGTATATGTCCTGTACATATATGTCCTATATGTAAGACTAGAAGAGGTCTGTTTCAGTGTCTCTGAAGAAGTGCTCGTACATGAAAGATTATACCCAGTATTAAACGTTGTTATTTTTAATGGTGCCACTGGACTCAAACTTTGTTCTGCTGCTTCAGACCAACACAGCTACCCACCTGAATCAACTTTACACAGAGAACAATTAAAATGTGGAATTTGCTGCCAAGAGGATGCAGTGATGGCTACAGGAATAAACAACTTGCAAAGAAAATTAGATAGATTCATGGAGGAGAAGTCTATTAATGGCTACTAGCTGTGGTGACTGAGGGGAACTCCACATTCAGAAGCACTAAGCCTTTGAATCCCAGAGCCAGGAGGCAACACAGGGGAAGGCCTCAGCCTCTATGCCATGTTGTTGGCCCTGCAGAGGAACTGGTTGGCCACTGTGTGAGACAGGATATTAGACTAGGTGGATCATTGGGAAGGGACTGTGCTGCCAGGGGCCATTAGAAGCATTTGTACGTTGGCTGCAACTAACAGAGATTTCTGTTTTGTTTGTAAAGTGTTTCTGTAAAGCTTAATACTCAGTAGCTGACTTTATTCCCTCTCATCTCACAAGGGGTGTGTGTGTGTTGGATGGTCAGGTTTTAGGGTTACTGGCCTCCAGGTGGTGACTGGAGATCTTCTGCTGTTACAACTGATCTCCAGGTGACAGAGACCAATTCACCTGGAGGAAATGGCTGCTTTGGAAGGTGGACTCTATAGCATTCTACCCCATCAAAGTCTCTCCGTCCACAAACCCCACCCTCCTCAGTCTCCACCCTCAAAATCTCCAGGTATTTTCCAGCCTGGAACCGGCAACCCTAAAATTAAAACTGATCAGTTCCCCTGGAGAAAATGGCTGTTTTGGAAGGTCAACTGTAGGCCATTATACCCCACTGAGGTTCTGCCCTTCCCCAAACCCCTCTCTTCCTTGGCTCCACCACCAAAAGCCCAAAGTATTTTCCAGCTCAAAGCCCTCTCAACCTTTTCTCTGCCTTGGTCTACCTGTGCCTCAGCATGAGGCAATCAAATGGGCTGAAGGCATCATCAGCTTCTTAACCTTGCCCTAGATAAAAACTCTCAGCCAGTGTTTTAAAAGTACACCTGGGAGAAAGATGGCAGCTGTACCTGTTTATGGCTGCTTTGGGTGTGGATATACATTGACGGCACTCTGTGTCATTCTGCCTCCGAAGGCTGTCTCAGCTAAGCCAAACTTGTCCATTTTAAATTGCTCAATAAAGGCGACTGCACAAATGCTTGTGTGGCTGACCTCCGGCTGCCTTTCACATCAAAAGTGGTAGCTCCATGATTCCCTTCCCTCCATCCCAGTAACATACGTGGAACATAAGGGCTGTACGACATCTCAAAATACAGGACTGGAGAGAAACACTGAAACCAATGACTGGCAGATGAACCAATATCCTTATTTAGTTAACTTTTGGACCCATTTCTACGTCAGGTTGCTTTCATTTTGCCCAGTCTCTGTCACTGCACCCATCCATACCTCCTTTGTACTCATTTGGTTGACTGCTTGTGCCTGATAGCTGCTAACCATGACACGTCCCTGTCAATCCTTCCCCAAGGTCAGGGGTGGCCAAACTTGCTTCATGTAAGAACCACATAGAGTAAATATCAGATGCTTGAGAGCTGCAAGGTGACTTCAGAGGAAGAGGTGGGTTGGGGGGGGAGTGGCCTGAAAGTGACATCACAGGAAGGGGTGGGGTTTGGTGCAGGATGTGACATCATCAGAAGGGGCGGAGCTTAGGGAGTGACATCACAAAGTGCTAGAGAGTTGCCTGTCAGTCCCACCTGCCATTTCAGTCATGAGGATAAGACATGTGATGTGAGAAAGCAACAATGGACACCCCTTCAACTTAAGAAAGAGGAGAAAAGTCTGCTGAGCCCCAGAGCAGAAACCAGAATGCCCTCTTTGTCCACATCCATTTCCTAATCCAGGGTGAGGGGGTTTTAAGGCAAGGGATGTTCAGAGGTGGTTGGGTGGGTTCATGGCAGCAGTTCTGTATTCATCTCACCGACATTAACTGGGGAGAGGCGTGAGGCTATTGAATGGCTGAGTCTATCCCATCACCTTTGCTGATGCATGTGGGATGGCTGCCTGGTGGTCCATAGGGAGACAAGAGAGACATGGGGATGCGTGGCATAGTGTAATAGAGAAGCTACTTTATCTATGATTGTGTGCCCTTTGAAAACGAGGTTAATGAGAATCATAGAGGGAAGGGATCTCCACAGTCATCTAGTCCAACTCCCTGCACAGTGCAGGAAATTCACAACTACCTCCCCCCTACACACCCCAGTGACTGCTGTTCCACGCCCAGCCAGAAGATGACATAAAAACTTCCAGGATCCCTGGCCAAACTGGCCTGGCGAAAAATTGCTTCCTGACCCTAAAGTGGTGATCAGCATTTCCCTGTGCTTGTAGATGGGGCTGAGAGAGCTCTTTTGAGGACTGCTATTGAGAGAACAGCGCTGAAAGAACTTGTGATTGACCCAAGGTCACACCAGCAGCTGTGAATGGAGGAGTGGAGAATCAAACCTGTTTCTCCCAGATTAGAGTCTGTACACTTAACCACTACACCAAGAATGCAAATGTACAGTGCATATTGTTGTGATCAGCTTGATTAGAGCAGAGGGGAAATGCTTAGTGGCAGAAAATTAGCATCTGTAGTGAGATAAGAATCCTAGGTCCTGATTCAACCCTGAGGGTTCCATTGTTGTGAATGAACTCAAGTTCAGCAAACTCCCATTGTAATTTCCCCTTGAAATTTCTTTGTTAGAGAATGGACACTTTTAGATCAGCAGTGGAATGACCTGGAAGATTAAAATGTTCGCCCACTGTTTTTTTGTTTTGTTTTTTGAGTGTTGCATATTTTCATCTCGGAATTTCTTGAAGACCCCTGTGAACTGCCTGCCTTGGGTCAACAAGGTTGGAGGCCTTCTCAGTAGTGGCCCCCATCCTGTGGAACCAGCTGCCCCAAAAGGTGCATTACTTGTGGGACCTCCTTAGGTTCCGCTGGGCATGCAAGGCTGCCAATTTGGTGTAGCAGTTAGGAGCGTAGACTCTGATCTGGGAAGACCGGGTTTGATTCCCTACTCCTCCACACACAGCTGCTGGTCTGACCTTGGGTCAATCATGGCTCTCTCAGAGCTGTTCTGTCAAGACCAGTTCTCAGGAGAGCTCTCTCAGCCCCACCTACCTCACAGGGTGTCTGTTGTGGGGAGGGGAAGGAAAAGGGATTGTAAACCGCTCTGAGACTCCTTTGGGTAGTGAAGGGCAGGGTATAAATCCAATCTCTTCTCTTCTTCTCTTTTTCACCTTTGGGTGATTGTGATCCAGCAGGCAGCTGGTATGTTTCACCTGTGTCTGCCCCATCCATGCATCCTACCCTCCTTGACAGTGGATAGATTTTGATGGGGATAGATTTTTAACTGTTTTATATTTTAAAGATAATTTATTGTATCTTTGTATTGTTTTCATTGGGGTATTTTAAATGCTTTTAGCTGCCTCAAGTCCCGTTTGGGGGAGAGGGAGCAGGATATAAATTTGATAGATAAATAAATGAATATCGGATTTATGTCCACTTACCCTTTGGCAGAGACTAACCGGTTTGTTCAATGTAGAACAAGTCTCTCTATGGTGCTACTGAACTCAAATCCGGCATCCAGCAGGCATCTTTAAAACAGAGAATGACCTTTGGACACCACCAGATGGCTCTGCAGAGTCTAGCTTGAATCGGCCTTTCACTACTTCACTAGCTTGATCGTGCCTTTCACTACCAATCCTTTCTTATGGCCTTTACTGTGAGGCTAAAGTAGACTGGATAGTAAGATTATTGTAAGACTAACAAAAATTAGAAACGAATGTTCCAATGGCCAATTTTAAAAAAAATCTTTTATGTCTAGTAATAATGTACATTGGCTCTGATTGTATCTTCTGGACTGAAACAGGAAGATACTATAATGGCCTTTTATTATTAGATCCAATTTATTGGATCAATTTATTATTACGGCTAAGATATAATATAAAAAATAATGAATTAAATGATCTCAACAGCAAAGGCGGCCTGATCACAAGTGGACCGTCTTCTTAAGTATCTTTGTAGCACATAGGCAGATTTTGTGTCCTTAAAACACCCGTTTACTTTTTCAAGAGCTTTCTCTCCCCGACCCGAGTAATACGCTATTTTCACGAAGGGCAAACTCATTTTGGAAATATCGTGGTATGGTAGACCACCAGAATAGAGGCTTTCTTTTGTCTGTTCT